CCTTGAATCGATCCACGTTTCCAGCTTCATCACGTTTGACTTTGAAAACCCACTTGCTGTCGATGATATTCTTGCCTGGTGGTTTCGGCACTAGCTCCCATGTTCCGTTCTTCCGCAATGAGTCAAGCTCGCTGTCTATGGCATCTTTCCAGTCCGACCAGTCGCTTCGCTCCTTCAGTCCAGCTATTGTCGAAGGTAGGTTGTCCACGTACGCCTCTGCACTAAGTGCATACGCCATCACGGAATCATCAATGGTCTCGGTAGCACCTGCAAAACTTTGATCGGCAGAACTCGTCCCAAAGCTGGTAATGAAAGCAAGGAACTTACCGGGAATTCTGCGCTCCCGTCCGCTATGCCTCGTGAGCACTTCTGCCGAGCAGTTGTCACGTTCTGGTTGCGAAGGGAGCGCGCCGGTTGGTTCCTCCTCCTCGTCAACAACTTGAACGTCGATTGGTTCCTCCAGCTCGTCAATCACTTGAACGTCTGCGGTTGGTTCTTCCATCTCGTCTTGAACGTCTTCTGTTTCTAGTTGTTCCTCTCGGCAATCATTATCTCCAAATGGCATCGGCATCGACTTCACTGTAGCTTCAACGACTTGTCGCTCGTCGAACACAACATCACGAGACGTGAATATCTTCCTCGTTCTAGGGTCCCAAATGCGATATCCATTCGTTGTATATCCTACCATCACATTCTTCGAGGTTTTAGAGTCCAGCTTGTCACGTTTTTCTTTGGGTATCCACGTATACGCAATCGATCCAAAAACGCGCATCTTGTCCACGTTTGGTTTCTTGCCATACCAGATTTCATATGGAGTTTTCTTTTCTTGAAGAGCAGACGTCGGACTTCGGTTCAACACATATGCAGCAGTCTGCACAGCTTCGCCCCACATTGATTTAGACAATTCAGCATCTTGCAGCATCGACCGGGCCTTCTCCGACAGTGTTCTATTCATCCTTTCTGATACTCCATTTTGTTGTGGACTGTACGGCACCGTGAATTCCAGTTGAACTCCTTCAGCACGACAGAAATTTCGAAACGATTTGCTGCTGTATTCTCCTCCGTTATCGCACCTGAGCCTAGCTATTTTCACGCCGAAGAATGCTGTCACCTGGGCATGGTAACGCTCGAACATCTTTTGAACTTCGTCCTTTGACTCCAACAAATAGACTACGGTGAAGTGGCTAAAATCATCGATGAACGTTACATAATATCGCTTTCCGTTCCAGGTAGTCGGAGTGAATGGTCCGCACACATCCGAGTGGACCAATTCTAGCAGTCGGCTTGAACGTCGTTCCGTCGATTCTTCAAATGCTTGCCTAGTCTGCTTCCCAGCCAAACATATTTCGCAGATACAACTATTTGGCCAGCCTTGAATTTTCGAAGAAGTTTCAACCATCACATTCTTCCACAGACTCTTCAGATTACCTGCGCCAAGATGACCATAGCTTCTATGCCACAAATCGAACCCATCGCTTTTGAACACCATCGCACTTGCGCATCCTGCCTCACTTCCGTCTCGGACAAAAATATCTAACGCATACAATTGACCCAATCGCCGACCAGTACAGATAATACGACCGTCCTTTTCTATAGTCACCTTTCCGCTGACGATCTTGACTGTCATATCATTATCTTCCAATCTCCGCACCGAAAACAGGTTGCATTGTAGCTCCGGCACGTATAATACCTCGTTTACCACGGCAGGTTGCTTCTTTCCATCGACCAGCATATCCACTCTTACGGTACGAGCGGTTTCAGCAACAATAACTTGGCCAGACTTCGCAACAGCTATGTGCATTTTACGCTTCAACGAATGTAATTCTTCGAACAACGATTTGTCTTTCAACATGTGATCAGTGGCGCCTGAGTCCAGGAACCACTCTATCTTCCGATTCTACGACGAAGTCAGCAATGCACCACTGCCAGCGCTCGTAGTCGCAATGAAGGCCACCTCATTTTCGCTCGTAACATTCGCTCCAGCTTTCTGCCGTCGTCCAAATTTGCCTCCAGATTTCCAGTTCTTCTCCCGATCCTTTCTGTCGACTTGACGGTTCTCAGGACATTCAGCACGCTTGTGTCCAACACGACCGCAACCGTAACACTTGTAGCCAGCTTTTCTTCCAGCGAACGCAGATTTACCACTGCCGTTTTCTTCGTAATTCGTTGAACACTTACCGGACCGCTTCACTTGCTCATCCAACAAACGTTTCTTGACGTATTCGAGAGTTAATTGATGGGGCTGAATGGTTTCCAAGGCAGTAATCAGAGCTTCATAAGATTTCGGCAGGGCTAACAAAAGTTGACAGACGACGTCTTCTTCTTCAGTCTTCACTCCTGCAGCTTTCATCTCACGAAGTACCTTCTCGAACTGGAGCAAAAATGACTTGACGTTCTCTTCTTCCTTGAGCCGCAACTCTTGAAACTGCTTCCGTAAGAATAGTTTTCCAGCGATTCCGACCCTTTCAAAGGCGTTCTTGAGCGCATCCCAAGCTTCCTTCGCAGTTCTCTTATCCTTCACATATTCCAGCTGATCTTCGGCTATACGGTGAATTAACAGGTTCTTGCATTTTCTGTCCTTGGCCATCCGCTCGTCCAGTAGCTTCTTCTTCCGCTGCTTCTCTTCAGCAGTATCACCCGGAAGTTCCCTCGCGTACTCTTCGTCAGCAACAGCCTTCTCCAGACACTCCAGCAAGCCTTTGTCTTCCATCAATACTTCTATTCTGAACTTCCAGTTCCCGAAGTTTTCGCCGTTAAACAGCCAGAGTTTGTCGTCGCTCATCTTGAAGTCTTCTTCCGTACAAATCAAACGACCGTTACTTCACTATCGATTCCGGTTCCGCGCTGGGCCCATAACCTAATAAACTAGGCAGAGCAATTGGAAAAGAACTTCTTTATTGAACGAAGGTTTGTGAAGGAATGAATAAATTAGTGACACGAATCTTCATGGGTTGCTACATGCTTGTTGTTTGGACAGAGTTGATCGGTTGCTACTCAACATTCAGTACTTTCCATTGTGATTTCGAACCTTTCTTAATTGATTCAGTACTTTCGAAAGAGAGGATTCAAACTTTCTAAAGTGATTCAGTACATCCTAAAGTAATTCTAAATTTTTCGAAAGGATTCCAAACTTTTCTGAAGTGGTTCAGTACTGTCTGAAGTGATTCCAAACTTTCTGAAGTGCTTCAGTACTCTTAGAAGTAATTCTGAACTTTTCTGAAGCGATTTGGACATCCCGAAGTGATTCCAAACGTTCTAGAAAAGATTCAGTACTTTCGAAAAAAAGATTCCAAACTTTTCGACGTGATTCCGACCCTTTCTTAAGTGATTCAGTACTTTCAAAAAAAAAAGATTCCAAACTTTATGAAGTGATTCTAAACTTTTCAAAGGTATTTGTGAAGCAATTCAGTACTTTCTGAAGTGACTTCGTACTTTTCTGAAGAGATTCAGTACTTTCAAAAGTGATTCTGAGCTTTCTAGATGTGATTCAGTACAAACTTTTTTGAAGTAATTCAGTACTTTCTTAAATGAGTCCAAATTTTTCGTAGGGAGTCGTGTGATTCAGTACTTTCTTAAATGAATTCACACGTTCCGAACTTTTCTGAAGTGATTCAGTACTTTCAAAAGTGATTCCGAACTTTTCTGAAGTGATTCGGTACATACCAAAGTTATTCGTTACATTCGAAAGTGATTCCAAACTTCCAGTCTGAAGTGATTCCAAGCTTTCTAGAAAAGTTTCAGTACTTTCCAAAGTGATTTCAAACCCTTCTTAAAGAGAGGATTCAAACATTATGAAGTGATTCAGTATATCCCAAAGTTATTCTAATTTTTTTCGGAGGGATTCCAAACTTTTCTGAAGTGCTTCAGTACTTTTAGAAGTGATTCTGAACTTTTCGTGATTAGGACATCCCGAAGTGATTCCAAACGTTCTAGAAAAGATTCAGTACTTTCACTTTTCGAAGAGATTCCGACCCTTTCTTAAGTGATTCAGTACTTTCGAAAAAAAAAAGATTCCAAACTTTATGAAGTGATTCAAAACTTTTCGAAGGTATTTGTGAAGCAATTCAGTACTTTCTGAAGTGACTTCAAACTTTCAAAACTGATTCCGAACTTTTCTGTAGTGATTTAGTACTTGCAAAAGTGATTCCGAAAGAATTCGAACTTATCTGTAGTGATTCAGTGCGTCCCGGAGTGATTCCAAACTTTCCAGATGTGATTCAGTACTTTCAATACTATGCCAAACGATTCCATAATTGTTACGGGTACGATTGACTTGACGATCAAATTAATGCTTCAATGGATGTGATTATCAGAAACATTATCTTTACGTCACGAATTTAATGTTGATTCAGAACCTAACCAGCGAAATGCTATACATAATTATGATTAAGTTCTCGGAGATACATTGAGAATATCAATACATTTAACGTTTAAAGCGAGGTTAAAAGCTAACAGCTGGAATACATGAATTGCAAATGGCTAATGCGTTGTCTTCCACAAATCATCTAAATAGCAATGTTCTCTAGTATTTGACGTCAGAAATTCATTTGATTTCGATGCTGACGTAGGCATCAAAATCAAACGTTCGGCTAATGTAAATTTTTATTCGGAAGCTACAATATAGATTATCGCAGATCGAAGGTATTTGGCAGCCGAAGGCATGACTTTAATTAATTGAACTCATAATTATCGGGCTTTAAGCTGAATTGGAGTTATCATCGGTCTAAGCATTTCTTATTGCCGCATATCATGAATGCTATTGACCGTCATCATCGAAAATATGGCGAAATCCGATCAAAGATAGCAGTCAACAGTGCGAAAGGAAGAGAAGAGCAACATGAAAGAACCCATCATTCACTCCACCCTCGCGCCGATCCATAACGAACTTTGACTCTCGCATTGACAACGACAATCACACCAAGCATTATCTACAATACTAAACTGAACTTCTTTGCTTTCCCATTCCGCCGAACACGCTCCTCCACTGATTGCCATTCCAGATAATCACACAACGATGACGATATTAATAAGTGGAAAACGACCGCTCCGGCTAACCCTAGCCGTGACCCTGCTGCTGTGCGTGCTATCATCGTTCACGGCAGCCCAATCATCATCCCAATTGACCTGCCCGGGCAAAACGACCTGCCGGGAGTGCATCCAGAGCAACAACTGCCGCTGGTGCACCCAGGCCAACTTTACCAAACCGAGATGCCACGGGCACGACATCGGCTACTGCCCGGAGGAGTACACCGTAGATCCGAGTAACGAAGCGATCATGCTGGTCGACCGGGAGCTGAGTAGACCGATTCAAGGGGGTGGATCCATGGTGGAAGGTGGCTACGAAGCGGAGATGTCCGGAAGCTCCCATTGGTCGCAATCCGGCTCGTCTCACTCGTCGTCATCCTCGTCATCGTCGGGTAGCATGAGTGCCAGCGGCCAGAGCATTGTTCAAATTCGCCCGCAGCGGATGCAACTGAAGTTGCGATTGAGTAAGTTATAAACATTAAGTTCCACAACACCTCAATCATCCTGCTTTCACCAATTCCAGACGAAGTCTACCGGTTGAACGTCAAGTACTCGCAAGCCGAAGACTACCCCGTCGATCTGTACTACTTGATGGACCTGTCCAAGTCCATGGAGGACGACAAGGAAAAACTATCCTCGCTGGGGGCCCAGCTGGCCGAGGAGATGCAGAAGATCACATCCAACTTCCGACTCGGGTTCGGATCGTTCGTCGACAAGGTCCTCATGCCGTACGTGTCCACCGTACCGAAGAAGTAAGTACCCTGTTGCCCACTGTTGCCCGTGTCGGAGAATGTAATTCTACTTTCAGGAACTTGAACAACGACCTCCCCTCCCGTACAATCATACTCTTTGAATAATTGTTGCTAACCGAGTTCCTATTTTTGATCAAACCAAAACGAAAAATACGCAGATTGGAGCATCCGTGCGATGGTTGCGAAGCACCGTACGGTTACAAGAACCACATGTCGCTGAGCGTCGACACGGGTCGGTTTTCCGTAAGTTTCCTTTGACGATCTCTCCGAGATCAAGTTTATCGCTATTAGCTGGATGGTAGTTTTGTTCTTCCACCTTTTTCTCGGTATTTTAATTTGTTTTTTTTTTTTTTTTCTGGGCGAAGAGATGTGGCCATCGATGTGCATTTCAGTGTAGCTCCTATTGCTATCGTTGTAGATTGGGTGGGGTTTTCATAATTTCTGCATTTCTCGTTTCATGTTTCACCTTATTTCGGGCATTGTTTCTTCATCTCTGTTTTCCATTATCGATTTGGCTCGTCTTCCAAATTGTTGTTTTTTGGTTTATGTTCATCTGGGTCTTATGGATGGAGTATTTTTGTATCGTTATTTACGTTATCAGTGTATTTTTTTTTAAGTTTTCATTATGACTTTAGTTTTGTCATGTATCAACGTTTGAAAGACTCGTATATTTTGGAAAAATTGAACGCTTTAAATGTCTATTACTGTTTGTGTTAGAATGGTTGTGTATTGTTGATCTGTATGTTTAAGCTATTTTAACTTGGTGATTCTGTTCAGTGCATGTTGTCAAACGTAATTTTAAATGTTTTGCAATGTTTAAGGACAAGGTGGATAGAATCCATGAATGGCCATGATAGTGGCCATTTGTGGATTGTATCAATCTTATAGAGCCACGCTCACAATGCATCTGGTTCTGATAGGTTTTTGTAAATCTGACAGTTAGACAATAGACAATACAGTGCCAATATTTCAAAGGGGCGTAATTGGTTTCGTAAACAATGACTGTAGCCGTCGATTTCTCGCAAATATAAGCTCGCACCCCTCCAGATTAACAATGCCAGTAGTTAGAGGAAACATTCCTCTACCTGCTGGTGTAGTTATTTTTCATGAGTGAGTTTTTAGTCACGAGAAAGCTGTGATTCAACTGTCACTTAACTGCAACTTATCAAATCTGGATACATTGTACGCCGCCCATTGATGTTATTGAATGTTGGAATGTTATTCGTTGTTGATGTAGGTGCAAGAAAAGTAAACGTTATTTCGCCCTTCTCGAGGGTTTCTGTCAAGCAAACTCGTGCCATACCACACAAGTCAGATCCTGTTTCGGTGCTACTCAGGGTTTGAAATGTCATTCATTCAATTCGAAGAGTATGATTGAAGTGCTCCTTATACAAGCTAGTCGTACATCTGCAGTCCGTCAAAAACCGACATCAACCGCAATTGAAAATTAATCACAACCATGTTCCCCATGTTCTTCGCACACAGTCTCCGTGAACCATGTCCCCAGTGCGCGGCTCCCTACGGCTATTACAATCTTATGCCTCTCAGTGTGGACACCCATCGGTTTACAGTAAGTTTGTTTTGAAAAAGAAAAACGCAAAAATCGACCCCTTCCTACCTTTACAATTTGATTAATCTCTTCCCGGGATCGCAAGGGCCCGCAAATCGATTCCTGCGAGCCTAGCGTTCTGCGTTCGTTACTGATTTTGACCCCTCTAAAACCCAATCCCTGGAATTAAACTCACACAAACTTCAACCTCCAGTACATCTGACACAGCTTACCCCGCTCCTAGAACAGTCCGGCAAGCTGTATCATCATTTCTAATTGTTCGATCTGATTATACCTGAATCTGGCAAAACCGGGTACCATGGAAATAGACTACGCCGCCATTGGTATGACCAAATCGAATACGAGGAAGGCTTTTCCCCCCTTAAACCGCATATTGATGCACACATAATACCCACAGTCCATCGAAAGAGCCCACAAGAGTCATTTTCGTTACCACCTGTCATATATGGTCCTATGTCTGGCCACACTGTCACGCACAAATATAATTCAACACTCATTAAATCAAAATCATCATAAAATCGGGGACCTGGCTGGCAGCCGTGTTGTTGATTGCTTAGATTACACGCAGATAAATAGAACCTTTTTAAAATATCAAAGTACATATTCATTTGATGGTCAAACTCGAATATTGTTGGTTTGAACGTCGAATTTTGTTAAAATAAACAAGTTATACTATTTATTTTTTTGTAAACAATGTAGTGGTAAAAAACATTTAGGTTTAGAATCTTATTTAGAATATCATTTGTATGCTGTCCAAATAACAATTAAAATTGAATAATTGTAGGTCGGTTTTACATAAACAAATTTTACGACTTATATTAACAAATTAACCAAATTATTCACTTGCAACGTTTTAGTTCAGTGTTTGTTTTGTTTTGCACAAAGCACGACGTTCGCGACGAAACAGGTTCCAGCCGATTCCGGTTGAGATTTTTGATGCTGCCAACGAAAGTTCTAGTGGATTTTTCTGACGTTTTCGACGGACGCGGTTTTCAATCGATTCTGATTAAGATTTCGGATGCTTCCAAGGAAAATTCCAGTGGATTTTAGCGGAGTTTTCTGACATTCTCGATGGAGACGGTTCCAGTAGATTTCGGTTGAGATTTCTGATGCTGCCAATGAAAATTCCAGTGGATTCCGTCGGAGATTGCTGACGGTTTTATCGGAGAGAGGTTCCTCATAGAAACACTGCAATAAGAGACCAGCGGAGACACTGTTATGATTCCAATCGAACTGTCAAAAGCGGTTCCAATCTGCAATGTTTACAAATGGTTTGCTTCAATTAGGGAGGAGTATTAAAATCGTTTAACAATCACTCATGAACTCGCTCGTCGGTGCATTGGCGAAGTCACTCGCAAGCAGTTACAAATGCAAGTAATGCCAGGATTTCTTCGATGTTTATCTTGTTGCCAAATTCATGTTTTTTGTCTCCGCTGGTCTCTTATTCCAGTGTTTCTAGTTCCTCACTATTTTGATGGAGATTTCAGAGTTCCAGTGGATTTCGGCGGAGGAGCTTCCGCATGATTTTGGGTGGCGGTTTTAGAGCATCTAAAGTTCGGTGGATTTCGATGGAGTTTGCTGACGTTGTTGACGTTGGAGGTTCCAGTGGATTCCTGTGTAGATTTCAAATACTGCCAAATAAAGTTCCAGTGGATTTCAGCTGAGTTTTCTGACATTCTCGATGGAGGCGGTTCCAGTCGTTCCAGTAGATTTCGGTTGAGATTTCTGATGCTGCCAATCAAAATTCAAATGGATTATGACAGAAGTTGCTTAGGGTTTCGTCGGAGAAGGTTCCACACGATTTTGGTGGAGATTCCGGATGCTGCCAAAGAAAGTTCCAGTGGATTTCAGCAGAGTTTTCTGACATTCTTGACGAAGGAGGTTCCAGTAGATTTCGGATGCTTCCAACGGAAGTTTCAGTGGATTTCGACGGAGTTTGCTGACGTTGTCGACGGTGGAGGTTCCAGTGGATTCCTGTGTAGATTTCAGATACTGCCAAAGAAAGTTCCAGTGGATTTCAGCTGAGTTTCTGACATTCCCGATAGAGGCGGTTCCAGTAGATTTCGGTTGAGATTTCTGATACTGCCAATCAAAATTCAAATGGATTTCGACAGAAGTTGCTTAGGATTTCGTCGAAGGAGGTTCCACACGATTTTGATGGGGGTTCCGGATGCTGCCAAAGAAAGTTCCAGTGGATTTTAGCAGAGTTTTTTGACATTCTTGATGGAGGAGTGGATTTCAGCATTGTTTTCTAACATTCTCTATGGACGCGGTTCCAGTAGCTTTCGGTTGAGATTTCTGATGTCTCGTCGAAGAGGGTTCCACACGATATTGGTGGAGATTCCGGATGCTGCCAACAAATGTTCCAATGGCTTTCAGCAGAGTTTTCTGACAATCTCGATGGAGGCGGTTCCAGTAGCTTTCGGCTGATATTTCTGATGCTACCAACGAAAGTTCCAGTGGATTTCAGCATAGTTTTCTAACATTCTCGATAGAGGAGGTTTCACACGATTTTGGTTGAGATTTCGGATGCTGCCAAAGAAAGTTCCAGTGGATTTCAGCAAAGTTTTCTGACATTCTTGATGGAGGAGGTTTCAGTAGATTCCGGCTGCTGCCAACGAAAGTTCTAGTGGATTTCAGAAGAGTTTTATGACATTCGCGATTGAGGCGTTTCCAGTAGATTTCGGTTGAGATTTCTGATGCTGCCAATCAAAATTCTAGTGGATTTAACGGAGATTGCTGACGATCTCGTTGGAGGAGGATCCACACGATTTTTGTGGAAAATTCAGATGCTGTCAACGAAAGTTCTTGTGGATTTTTAAGGAGTTTTCTCAAGCTCTTGGAGCTTCCACACAATTTCGGTGGAGACTTTAGATGCTGCCATAAGAGGTTCCTGTGGATTTCGGTGGAGAAGGTTTCGCATGATTTCGGGGGCGATTTTAGATGCTGCCATCAAAAGTATCAGTGGATTTCAAAAGGAGTTTGCTGAATGAAGGTGCCATACGATTTCGGTGGAGATTTTGAATGCTGTCATCGGAAGTACTCAATGATTCCCGATTACGTTTTCAGAGGGACTGGTTGAACTCCCCGCACATCTAGCACAAGGAATAGAATAAAGTGAAATGGAACGATGGGGTACGGAACGCAAAATCAAAACAAAAAGGGCAAATTAGGTACTGCAGCGGGACGTCACGAATGAACTCAGTGTTAATCGGCTGAACCTTTTTGACAGTTCAGTGGTACTGTTTACAAGCACTTAGTCGTTTTTTCGAAAAAAAAATTCTAAGATTTCCGAATTTTAACTTGAAAATTGTCGAGGAACAGCGCGTTGCAAGGATTTTGCTCGTGAACATTGCAGAAATGTGGTTTACATCTCACTGCAGTCTGAAAAAATATCGAGAAAATCCACCCAAGAAAAAATCGACTAAGTCCACGTAAACAGTACCACTAAACTGTCATCAGATTGAGGTTAACCCCGACGGTGCAAAACCTAATAAGGCTACCAGAAACTCGCTTTTCTGATGGGTAGGGTTACTAGAAGTTCAAATTAAAAATGAACCTTGTTAATAGGCACGGAGTGTTGTTCAGAATAACCGAGGTAATTCAAACTTGAAACTTGTTTTGTCGCTATAGTAAACTGTAAAATCGGTTGAGTTAAACTGAAATTTTGATTGCGTGTAAAACTCAATCCACTAGGCTAATTAGGGCTGCCAGCCAAATTCTTATCGAAAAAAAAAAAACTACAAACCTAAAACATTTAAACATTTTGCACCTCATCGAATACATAAACAATGTGCACGCTTCTGTTCGAACTAACCGCTGCTTGTAGTTAAGATTTTGTATAGTTGCTTTTGCATGCCGATTGCTTTTCTTTTTGGTTATGGGATGTATACGTTCCCTACGCTAATGGCCTAAATGTAGGATTTGACGTTTCGGACGTCTCAGTAGGCTGACTACCCGAAAAAAAAAAAACGCCAGACCCCTTAAACCACCCCATACCATTTTCCCCCCCAATCGCAAAACATCACAGGAAGAAGTCGAGCGAGCTGCCGTGTCCGGTAACCTGGATGCCCCGGAGGGTGGTTTCGACGCCATCATGCAGGCCGTGGTGTGCCGTGAGCAGATCGGTTGGCGCGAGATGGCCCGCCGTCTGCTGGTGTTCTCGACCGATGCCGGGTTCCACTACGCCGGCGATGGCAAGCTGGGCGGTGTGATCACGCCGAACGATGGCGAGTGCCATCTGGACAAGACCGGCCGCTATACGCATTCGACGATCCACGACTATCCGAGCATTTCGCAGATCAACCTGAAGGTGAAGCAGAACGCGATCAACGTGATCTTCGCGGTGACGCAGAACGAGCTGTCGGTGTACGAGCGGCTGTCCAAGCTGGTCGAGGGATCATCGGCGTCCATGTTGTCGAACGATTCGTCCAACATTGTGTCGCTGGTGCGAGATGAGTACAATGTGAGTGTTCATGGGTGTTACTAGTGGTTCAGAATAATGATCGAAATGTTTTGTAGAAAATCTCTTCGTCGGTTGAGATGAAGGACAACCGTACGGACAGTTTGATTGACGTGAAGTACTACTCCCGCTGCAAGGGCGATGGACCACTGGTGCAAACGAGTAAGTGCGACGGTCTTAAGGTAGGAGACCTTGTTCAATTTGAGGCCCACATAACCTTGCTGAAGTGTCCGGAGAATCCACGGGACTGGAATCAGATTCTGCAGATCTACCCGGTCGGTATCAACGAAAGCTTGACGGTGGACATTGAGATGCTCTGTAGCTGTCCGTGTGAACTTCCGGGTAATCCGGACTTCAAGGAGAACGCCGAAGAGTGCAGTGGTGTCGGAACGTACAAGTGCGGAATCTGCGACTGCGATGAGTTCCACCATGGCCACAAGTGTGAGTGCTCGGCTACGGATATTCACACGGAATCGGGCCTAGCTGAAGGCTGTCGGCAAACGAATACCTCGATCGAATGTAGCGGACGGGGACAGTGTGTCTGCGGGGTGTGCGATTGTGACAAACGGGTCAATATGGAGGAGATTATTTCTGGCCAGTTCTGCGAATGTGATAACTTTTCCTGCGATCGCCACAACGGACTGTTGTGTTCCGGGCCGAAGCAAGGACAATGCTCCTGCGGAGAGTGTATCTGCCAGGAAGGATGGACGGGAGCAGCGTGCGATTGCAAGGCATCCAACGAAAGCTGTATTCCACCGACCGGTGGGGAAATATGCTCCGGTCATGGTACTTGCGAGTGTGGAAGTTGCAGGTGAGTCATGTGTGAATTAGTTATAATAGCCACATCCAAACCCCCTAATCTAACCCGTTTGCAGATGTAAGATAACCGAGGAGGGTCGCTACTCGGGCCGATTTTGCGAAAAGTGCCCAACCTGTTCGGGACGGTGCAACGAGTTCAAGCACTGCGTCCAGTGTCAACAGTACAAGACGGGTCCGCTGGCCGATCCGACGGACTGTGCCACCAACTGTACCCTGTTCGTGCCTATTCCGGTCCAGAAGGTTGAGGTCGACGAAGAGAAGGACGACAACAAGTGTACCTTCTTCGACGAGGACGACTGCCGGTACGAATTTTCCTACAACGACAGTGGAGAGCAGGTCGTCGTGAAGGCTCAGGAAGAACGCGAATGTCCACCGAAGGTGTTCATGCTGGGCATTGTGTTGGCCGTGATTGCAGCCGTCGTTTTGATTGGATTGGCCGTCCTCCTGCTGTGGAAGCTGCTGACCACAATCCACGATCGTCGGGAGTTTGCTCGCTTTGAGAAGGAACGCATGATGGCCAAATGGGACACGGTAAGAGATTCGGTGCTCGATTCATTAGATCAGTCATTTAAAATATTCCATTCTTCCACACAGGGTGAGAATCCAATCTACAAACAGGCGACCACCACGTTCAAAAACCCAACGTACGCCGGCAAGTGAGAAGCCAAATCAACAAGTGCCTAAATCATACCTTAGCCGGCAATGTTTGCCGCAATCCAATTTTCCAAACTTTTTGCAAGAGGAGCGTGATTCCCTGTCGGTTAAACAACATACTAGTCTCTTAACCACTCTTGAATGCCTACATCTTCCATTGAAACAACTTCAGTGCTACCGACATCGGTTTGATCACCTTTTGCAAGATTTATGGAAAGGAACTTTTTTTAACAGAAGAAAAAAAAAACAACAATTTGGTCTAAAATTTTGGACATTTATTGGTTTGCCAAACTGACGAGGGCAGCCCACCTTAAACAAGCAAAAAAAAATGCGAAAAGCCTTACAAAAAACGTGCATTGTAAAACCGCTTGTTGCCGAAGTAGAAGATAGAAACATTTTAAAGACTAATGACAAAAGAAAACTAGTACGTAAACAAAATCGATAAACAATCAAAAACCGTTGAATCGTATTCAAACAATACATAAGTGTACTTATCGCGGGCAGAAAAAAAACATAAAACATTTTAAACAAAGCCAAAATTGTACTAAGCAATAAATGGGAAGGAAAACAGGAGGGAGACTTTTTCGCATGAATGTAGACATGTGCTGCCATCTTTAATTTAAAAACTGATAGAGAGGGGCAACTAGTCGAAAGCAATCTTCCGGCTAGTTTCCCATCTCTGCGTCGAGTCCCTTATTGGGACAGTAGGGTTTGATTGTGTTTTAACGAGAATTTTTATATATTTTTATATTAATTTAAAACAGATTTGTATTAACAAAGTGTCAAATGTGTCAAATTTTTAGAGATTAGTTCTGGAAGGGAAAAAAAAGGTAACGCACACAGTATAATTCTATTTTAGCGTGTGTTTGTGACGATCCATATGAGTTTTCGGCTAACATCATTCATCAAAACGTTCATTTTGTTCTGTATTCTAGTTCAAATTTTATGTAAATAATTTATTTTCTTTATAACGTGCATATTGGAGATTTCATTGATGAAAATCAGAAAACCGTATTAACAAGTCGATTTACAAAAGTGAATATTTAAACGAAACAAAAAAAAACTACTTTAAACGATTTAGATGAGTATCGAATTAATGTATTGAAATAGAGTTAACTCTAACAGTATGGAACTGAAAAAGCCACTTAAATCGTAGTGAATATCACAATTCCTCAATTTTTGTTTGAAATGTTAAAACAAGTTCATTCGATGTCTTTTGGAAATTTTCCAAGCATTATCATGTTTTTTTTTCATTCCCCAAAGTTTTAAATGTTCCTAAAAGTATTATAAAGATCCTTTTGATAATCTCCACACTTTTCTTTGAAATTATTCAATTATTCTACCAAAGAAGAATTCTAAGATGAAACAATCGGAAGAAACTGTAGTAGATAGAGTTAGTGCTGAATAAATAATCACCCATATTCTTATTTTCGTTCGAACCGTATTTTCCATACAAAAAACTTTTTAATATACGGTTCGAACGAAAACAAGAATATGGGTGAATAAGTAGAATCGAGTGAGCGTGAAGCGTGATAGCACAGACAAACAGACATAGCACATTGAATATTTCTCATTGTAAAACATCGTCGCTAAAACATTACCGCCATCTGTTGAGTACACTGTGGTGGGTAGTACGCTGAATAGATGGCGGTAGTGTGTAAACGTCAAACGCAAGGGAATTTACTATGCGTGCCACAGGTGGCAGTACTACCAACCGGTGAACACTCGTGTTTATTTCAGTTACCATGGAGACGTAATTTGTGATTAGCCCCGGTCCCTTTCAAATTGTATCATTATTTATGAACGGCCTTATATTTGAAATGACGTTTCACATTCATCTAGTGATGTCCGATTTTCATTCGAATAATCGTTTAATCGATTAACGAACCGAAAAGTAAACTATTTATAATCGGTTAGATCATGCCGATATAAGCATTAACATCTTCACAAGATCATCACCGATCGTTTCAAACATGTGCTGCACTCTCATTGGTGGGAAAATGGTGGCCGATGATTGAAAATTTTCAAACCAAAGCTAGGCCCTAGCCCTACTGCTTGAGGCAGGGCCGATTATTTGCTTTGAATTTATTTGACGTTGCGAAAAGGCTTAACAAAGGGCGTACCATATCTTATTTATTATTATTATTATTATTATTATTATTATTATTATTATTATTATTATTTATAAAATTAAAATGTTATCGATTTTCATATATTTTTGAAAGCTTTTCGAATATATTGGATGGTGTATCCTGAGATACAGTTACTATTGTTATTGTCTTTGTTATTGTTATTGCCTAAAATATTTCAATTTTCTTAAATAGGAATTGAATAGCGCCGGCAAAAATTTAAAATTCATTTTCTGTTTTTTTTTACGTTTTGGACATAGGCCCATTTCAAATGTTACTCTAGAGTTTTTCTTCCGACTGTTCCATCTTAGAGCAACCGTAACGGTCGTTGTCATTTGCGCGACTATTTTAACAGCGCACAGCGCTCTCATTTTAGTTTAGTCACTCTTCTCCACACCGGTCGCTGCTATCGTGGTTATCAATTTACTCACCTTTGTCCGTACCGGTAGTAAGCATTTTGACATTTCTACTTTCCCTACATTCCCTGTCAACCACATATAGATGCACCATAGCTCACATGATCTTGACATTTTTGGAAAATCTGACACTTTTGGACATACTGACAGCGGTAAAACTGACGGAGGCACGACAGAACAAGACAGCTTACTCTTTCACACTTGCATTGCAGTGCTGAATGCTAGAAAGAGTAGTCTGTTGCAGTCATCCTCCTTACCCACTATATGAATAACATTGATGTGAGCTCCGCCGAAATTCGTGATTGTTGCCCCCGTGATAGCAACCTTTCTCCCGCGCTGCTATCGCGCTGCTAAATTTGGTAGCGCGCTTCTCACCGAGAAGCCGACTGCTATTTTAGTTACTCGTATGGCAACCCCCGATACGGTAGCTGCGCTATGATGAGGCCTGCTAAAATGAGTTTAGCAGCGTACCGTTACGGTTGCTCTTAGAGCAACCGTAACGGTCGTTGTTATTTGCGCGACTATTTTAACAGCGCACAGCGCTCTCATTTTAGTTTAGTCACTCTTCCCTACACCGGTCGCTGCTATCGCGGTTATCAATTTACTCGCCGTAGTCCGTACCGGTAGTGAGCATTTTTACATTTCTACGAATAGCCGAGGGGGACGACTCTATCTACGATGCAAAAAAGATTGTGTTTTGCTGTGGCTAGCTGCGCGCACGCTGAGTAGATAGAAAGAAGATTGATGACGATTCTGAAGATTTCCTGCAAAAAGATGATGAGTGATGCAAGTAGATGCGACAAATGAAAGAAGATTTTTCGAAGATTGATTCGCTAGTGTGAGATTTGTTGAGCATCTAAACTTGAGATTTAGATGTGTCGCCCCCCTCGCGAATAGCAACCTTTCTGCAGCGCTGCTATCGCGCTGCTAAATTTGGTAACGCGCTTCTCACCGAGAAGCCGACTGCTATTTTAGTTACTCGTATGGCAACCCCCGATACGGTAGGTGCGCTATGATGAGGGCTGCTAAAATGAGTTTAGTAGCGTACCGTTACGGTTGCTCTTAGTATTCTTCTTTGATGCAGCTGCTGCTGTTTCTGCTGCTGCTGGTGGTCCGTCACCTCCAAAATTCGTTACAAGAATGACTTCAACGAGACTTACTTGACTTAAAATGATCTTTGTTTCTTGTGTTTGTGTGGTTTACATTTATGAATTTTTCAAGTGACACAGATGCGTCTTTTCAACTTTAGTTCATTTGAGATTTTAATTATTATTTACAGTTACTAGTCCTATCAGGCCTATTTTAAAGTATGACCAAGAATTACCATGTCCTAGGATGTCAGCTGATGGATGGTAAATAAGAAATACCATGACCTGATGGATGGTAAATAAGATTTGATACGACATGATGGATGGAGATATAAACTGAAGAAATTTACCATGCAGCGTTGCCAGAATGTTTTAAACCTTATCGGTATCAAAGGTTTTAAAAAATCGGTATTTATCGGCCGTTTTTGAAAGCGAAAATGTTGACTTTTGGATTATGATCGGAAAATTCCGGAAGAAAACTCCGGGGTATGTTTGAATTAGCTTCTGGAGGAAGCTGAAAACAACATCCAGAGAAAGAAGAAAGAAGCTCTCCTGGAGGAAATTTGAGGAAAGTTCTGAGAGAAGTCGGAAAAACATCCGCGGAATTTCCAAAACAAATTGAGAAACTTCTGGCAAAAATTTAAAGAAACTTTCAGAAAAAAAGTAGAAGGGTCTGTGCCTAGGGGCACGAACGGAAGCTTGACGTAGGACCGCTAGTGGACGGAATAAATGTGAAGAGCATTTAGTTCTTTTAATTGATCAAATATCTATTATCTCAACTCTTTCCGTTTTTGAATTGTAGGCGTACCAAATTTGTAGTATTTTTTTTTTCAAAGAGAAAGTTGATTAAGAGAATCAATCAAAATCACTTGCACTTTTGTGACAGCATCACGGACCTCATTTTCCAGGAACACCTTCAGCACACCTCGTAGATCAGACCGGAGATACGTTTGACACCACGGCGAGCCAGACGACCGACGGCGGTTATTTCGAAGAACTTTGCTGTTCACCACGCCGTCCAAAGCGAAAATGGACTAATGCCATACAGCAGCGCTCTTTTATATCTTTTCATGTTAAAGCGGAATGATGTGCAACCAAGTGGTATAAAAGCTACAAAGACTCCTCCCATTATGAGTAGTTTGCTATCAAGTAGAGACGCTGGCTCTTTTCCTTTTGCGTACACGGCAAATGAGAACGACACAAATTTGAGTTTAGTTCACTCATAATCGCCAAAAGTGCAGGAACTCAGCGATGAGTAAATTTGTCTCATGGTTTCCTGTGGAAAACCTAAAAAATCTGCCAGAAAAAATGAGGAAATTGACGAAAATTTTATTCAGTATCGGAGTAGTACCAATAGATTGAGTGAATCCAATCTTTACTTTTCTCAAATTCTGGAATTTTTCACTGGAAGGTCCTGGAAAAACCTGGGAAAACATGAGGCAAATTTACTCATCGCTGAGTTCCTGCACTTTATTTCTTATTTCTGAGATTAAACTCAAATTTGGGTCGATCTCATTCGCTGTGATATCACCTTGAAAGATATCGGCGCCGGTGGTTAGCGTGATTACCTCTCACCCCAGCAGGCCTGGGTCCAATGTCAGTCGGCACCGCATGTTCTAAGGCATAACATCTCTGATCACGCCTTCCTTCGGGAAGTAAAGCCGTTGGTCCCCGGTTGAGTTGATGGGTCGATTGGTAGCATTGGAGCTCAGAACGGAAAACAAATCTCGCGTCACTTTTCAATAGATCCTATCTACATTGATCGATTCTCTTCATCGACACTCTCTTTCGTAAATAACTCGGCTTCACAAATGTTTCCTGCCGTCTTCGTTGAATTAGATGCTAGATTGCTGCTTCTTACATCGAAAATATCCGACCGTGGCGATTCAAAGTTGATCAAGGTTGATCCAAATAATTTGTACCCCTGCTTCCAGTTTGATTACATGAGCATTTTGTGTGGTCGTTGGTTCTGAATATGGACAAACAGGCAGATGAATTCTATTCCTACTCTTTACCGTAATAAGCTTGGTGGCCCTGAAAAGAGCCGTTTTGTTCCCAAAGTTGGTGATGATTTAACCTCCGAAACCAAACAGAGTGCGTCTCTGTCACTTCAAAACGTAGATGACATCCATGGCCCCTTACGCTTGGCGTGTTTAGTGTAGGTGACAGCATCACGGATCTCATTTTTCAGGAATACCTTCAGCACACCTCGTAAATCAGACCGGAAATACGTCAGACACCGCCTCGGCGAGCCAGACAACGGATGGTGGTTATCTCGAAGAATTTTCGTTTGGTTCTGAATATGGCGATGAGTGTGCAAAATATTACGCAATTCCATCCTCCCTATTCGCACGCGCCCGATGATTGGAGGCGAATGCCACTTCGACTTGTTTCGTCTACTTACTACTCTCTGACGACTGTGCTGGAGAAGCAGGATATGCGTGTAGGTAATTGGTGGATTTGTTAGTTAATTCAACGCTTTTGGACAATACTGGACCTTTACCAGTTTTTCAATAGTTTCTTGTTGAAAATCAACATTCGGAAGCATTGTTATCGATGCGTAGCCATATTTCTGATCGATTGGTGTTAAAATTATTGAAATTTGTCCAGGGGCAGCTGAGTTATTAACGTTCAAAATCTTTCTTAATTTGTTACATGTTCCATTTTCGGTTTTCACAAAGTGTACCCCCATATAGAAATCAAAGACGTAGTCCTACGTCAAAAAATCGGATTTCACTTTCAAAGGAAGGCAGAAATGTTTCGCAAATCAGAAGTAAATTCCAAAAGTAGCCATTTCCAGGGGAAGCCATAAGAAGCTCAGAAAAACCTTGCAATAGAAGTCAAAAAAAATTAACTGGACAAAATTCCAAAACTAGACGAAATTAATGTCTGGGATAAGTTTATTTGAACTTCCTGGAGGAGACGGAAGAAAATTTTTGGAGACGCTGGCAGAGACTTCCTAAGGTAGATTGGGAAAAAAAAATCTAGAGGAAGTTGGAGCCAGAGTGCTAACGGCACAATCCAAAGAAACAAGGACATAATTCCGGAAGAAAGAGCTCTTGGAGGATGTTATAATGATCAAGAAATTTTTCCAAATGGTCATAAAACATCCCTGAAAACCCCACAATGCCACTGAAGTTTTTGGAACATTCATGAAATGTACTTAGGAATATTCCATATTTCCTCGGAATTTCATAAAAGTTCTTGTAATTTTCCTTAAGTTAAAAGGGCTGTTTTTTTGTACTCTGATCATTTTGAAATACTTGGAACTTCCCTGATTATAATGAGACTACCGAAATATCTCTAATCAACTTTGAAACTCTAGAGACTTTCTTGAAGATTACGAAACTTCTTAAGCGCTCTCACAATTTTCTTGAATTTATTGTAACATCAGCATTGAAGTTCTCTGATCTTTCCGATTTTTCTAATTTTTAAAAGTTTTCGACACTGCCATTAATAAGCACGGAACTAACCATAAAATGTTCACACAATGTGCTAATGTTCATGTAACTTCATTTACGTTTCTTAAATTTGTATGAGCCCCTCGGAACATTGCTGAAGTTTTCGGAAATTTCCTGAGTTTCTCGGAAGTCCTTTAAAATTTCAGCGATTTCCTTGAAAATTATTGATCTGTCCCGATGTTCTCGGAGCTTCCTAAAGTTCTCCCAATTCTCCTGAAACAAATGGAGCTGTCCTGAAAACCTTAAATTTTCCAGAAGTTCATTGGACTTGTGAAGTATCCAAAATATTTATGATGTTTTCTTAAGTTTACTGGAGTTCGCTGAACCGGGTTTTAGAATTTTAACAGAATTTATTGAAACATTCTTTAATTTATCAAAACTTACTCAAAAGTCTGAACTTTTCTGAAGTTTCAGGACTTCTTAAAAGTTCCTACAGCTAGTGTGGATCCGCAATCAAAATCTGGAAGCATCCCTGAAGTTCCGGGAAAGTTGAAAAAACTGGCGGGAAAAGGTAGAAGAATCATTCGAGCGAAGGCTGAAGAAGCTTCCAAGGGAAGTCGAAATAAGTTTCGGAGAGGGATCGTAAAATAATTTACGATGTAAGGTGGAAGAAAATTCCAGGGGAAAGTTGGAAGAAAATCCAGGAAGTTAATGTTTGAAAAGTATTTCAGTGTCAACATTTCAAAGGGGCGTAATTGCTTTTGTAAACAATGGCTTTAACCGTCGATTTCTCGCGAATTAAAGCTCACCCCTCCAAATTAACAATGCTAGCTGGTAGAGGAAACATTCCTCTACTTGTTGGTTTTATTAATTTTCATATGTGAGCTTTTATTCGCGAGAAATCGACGGCTAAAGCCATTGTTTACAAAAGCAATTACGCCCCTTTGAAATGTTGACACTGATTTCCTGATTCCCCCGGAATTGGGTTGTTTAACTTCTGGAATTGGGTTATTTAACTGCTTTGTTTTCTGAGCACAACATTCATCTTAATTTTTAAATCAAGATTTAAATTTTTGATCGTTGACACTAAATCTATTCGTTGACAGCTCACTCCCATACAAAGTCCCACTAAGCTAAGATGGTGATTTTTGCTAATGTAATCGTACTTAATAAAAATAGTTCAAGTGTACCAAAATTGATGAAATTTTGGATTTCGGTTCCATTTTTAATGCAGATAACGAATATGTATCACTCAATACCCCTAAACAACCCAATTGGGAATGTCTGCGGGATCGATCAAAAATCGTTGTTCTCAGAAAACGAAGCTCTATTAGATAATGTATAAAAATCGGTATATTTTTCGAAGTTAAACAACCCAATTACCAGAAATGTTTATCGATTCATGGGTAGCCAAAAGCGGTGAAGAAATTGAACCATTAATCGAAAGAGTATCCATAAGACATTTTTGCAGATGATTTTTTGTTAGAATTTTAAAGGATCAAAAAATTATAGATATTCAAAAAGATACAAGTCTTTCACAATAATTTTCTCCGAAATTCGAGCGCAGGCAGTAATCATTTTGATTATTTAAAAAAAAATCGGTATACATCGGTATAAAACCTCAAAAATCGGTATTCTGAGGAACCTTATCTGTATATCGGATCGGTATCTAGTATCTAACGCTGAGCCCTACAGTAACGTATGTCAAAAGTTGTTCCAATCGTTCCAATCGAACCGTCAAAATGCACCGCTTTGCTCGTTTGGAACAGCTTTTTTTCAGTTTTGTGGTGACAGTCGTCCATCCTTTAACTAGAGGGCTTTAGTCTAACGGGGCAATTTTCACCATTTGTGAACCCCCCAGATTATCTCCAAAACGATAAAAGTTCATCCAACGTCTTTCCGTTTTGCTCGCTTTCCCTTCAAATGTAAGATTTGATGAACGGCGCACTTTTGAGACTTTGGCCAAAACAAAAAAAAGCTCATCGCAGTCTTCTTCAGCTCCTCGCAACTCTGCTCACTGCTGGGCAGCCTCAGCGCTTGGTTCCCCATCAAAATCAAAACACGAAAAAGCCACTTTCATCCCCATCGATCTCAACATCGGATTAGTCATCTTGTGTCGTGCGCTTCCAGAAAACCCAATGGTAGTGATAAAAATGTTCGATCGCTCGAAGGAAATCGGTGAAAAGTGAAAATTCTCCAAAGTAGGAAGTGAAGGTCTGAGCTAAATACAAAAGGTGGTGGGAATCCGCCCTCCGTTTCTTTTCGTATCTGGCTTTTTTTTGTGTGTTTGCTTGTGCGTCTCAAGGCCACCCACTATAAAAAAATAATAGCAACAACAACAGCGGCTAAGCACTGGCAGGGATCGTCTCGTGATGGTTGGGATGAGCAATTTTACGCTGGATCCTGCCATCATCGGCGTCGGCGGTGGCAAAAAGTATGAAATCGAGCGCAAGACCCTGATGGACGAGCTGATGGCCGTGGTGAAGGAGTGCCAGAAAAAGTATGGCGGCAAGACGGAACTGGCGACGGAAAGTGATTCAAGGTATAATGAGATTAGTGTTGTTTTTTTTTTTCGTTTGTTTTTGTGGCGATGTGCGAGAATGTTTGTTTTGTATTTTGTAGGATTATTTTGCTCTGTGATACTTGGGAAAGGGTGCTATCGCATGGACTGAAATCGAGCGGTTCGATGCTGAAGAATGTGGCGGATTTCATGGCCGGTGGTAGTCTGGAAGTACCAGTGCTGTGGGATTTTGCGTTCAAACACTTGACGAACCATGAGAAGGAACGGTTTTCAGCGTTGCGTCACGTTTGGACAAACTGCGGAAAGGGAAAGTCGCTGCTGCGGGCGATCCTCAACGAAAGGGCCCTCGAGCGGTACATTTTGATTTGGCTCGGGGAAGAGAGTATCCTTGCGGAAAGCTACGAAAGTTGGGCCCTGATGAGGGATGGAGAAATCATCGGTTTGCTTCCGGACATGGCGGCTGGGTTGAGTACGATTTTGTTTGCCATCTCGATTGACAGCCCGGAATTGAATGCCCCGACGCGGGTTGTACCGGAGAAAGTGGAACCGATCATAGCGACACAGCCTCCGGCGGGTCCTGCCCGGAAAGTGAACGTCGTTCAACGGGAAATCTTGGACGAAGTCCCCGCGCAACCGATTCTGAATCTATCCTCGTCGCCAGGTACATCGCAACTGCCAAGGCGAACGGCCAGCATCGATATTATCCGGGAGTACACCCACGTAGGAACCGGTCAGTCGCAGCGACAGGAAGGGGCGTACTCGGTGGAGGATGCCCTGAACAGTCTCTCTATTGCACGTAAGGCAAGCCGAGAATCGAAACCGGCGGCGAACGCCGGTGTCAGCCCGGACAATGCGATGGAAGCATCGGAAGACAGTATCATAGGGAATTATTCGTTGGATACGTCCACCGCGACGACAACGGCCACGGAGTCCAACTCCTCGAGCACGACCGTGTCCGGGTCGGATGCGTCCGGTCAGGAACTGGGGACCGAGGACGACTCGGTGCTCTCGGGACGGCAGGCGGAGATGGTGGATAAACTGAAACGCAAACTGATGGATTCGGACGAGCGCTGCCAAATGCTGGAGGCGCGAGTTGCTGAGCTGAGCTTGTGAGTATTGCCTTCTTTATAGGAAACGGTTAAAATTCTACTGGATTGTCTGGTCTCTGAAAATTTCCAAAGCTTATTAAAACCCGTCAAAGTCTGATAAGGTTTTAGCAGAAGATCCATGAGAGTCTGCAAATGATCCTGAGAAATTATGGCATAACATTTAATTGCTGTGTATAAACTGCTCTACCCCCGTTTGACATAATGGTCGTTTGACACAATAGCCATTAGATATAAATGTGGAAATCCGCTACTTATTTACCGATACCGATAAATAGTTATATTGCCTCCTGGTAGTACTTCAACAGCTCATGATGCAAAGAAGCGAAAATTAATTATTTAATTGATGGTAGTCCTTCTTTTGAACATGAGCTGTTCTTGTTTCGTGTGTGTGTACGCCAGCAGCCGTCCTTGTAGTTAATCATTCGTTCGTGAAATAAAATCCCATTCCTTTTGCAGGGAAAACCACCGGCTCCGGATGCTGACCCGCTCGAATCGCCTTTCGTTGATGCATTTCCAGATCAGTATCCCGAAGGCGATCCTTCGGACGCCGGTGAGCGGTCGCCGGCGGGAGCACTACTGCTACGAAATCCGGATATCGCCCTCGGCCAACGGATCCAGCGGCGAGTCGTGGTCCGTCTTCCGACGGTACAGCGAATTCTACCGGCTTCACAAGCGCCTCCAGAAGGAGTATCCCAGCGTAAAATCGTTGGACTTTCCACCAAAGAAGAAGATCGGCAATATGGTACGTAGGATATATACATATAGGAACCCCGTTTGGATCATTTCTAACTGCATGTCTTCCCTCCTTGCAGAACGCCCAGTTCGTGGAACAACGGCGCCAGCGGTTGCAGGTCTATCTCAATAGCCTGTTCATAACGACGCTACCGGAGGTGTCCGCCTGCAATACGCGATCGCAGCTGGAACGAGCGTTTCCGTTCCTGCGCGATGCGGTTCTCTAATCGTGACAGAGAATGCCAAGGATTCATGTGCTCTCCCAATCAGCGACTCCGAAGAGAGCGCGGAGAATTCTTCTATTATTTTCGCAGGCTGAAAGTTAGATTGATATTATTGTGTAGTAGTACCTATCGGTGATTATGATATCGTGTCGTGATTTATATCGTTTAGAAGATACGTTTCGGCCCATGTCCAGCCCATGGAACAAACGGTAAGTTCTTTGTCGGCGACGGAGTGGAAACTTTTTTCATGTTTAGATGTGTTAACTAGTTAATCAAGCAACCTTTTGAAGAATAAAACGTAGGATATTTGTATGAACTCTGTACTGAACAACATTGGCTATGAAGGATGTTTTGTGCTGTTGTTTAAATTGCGATGACCATTCTTGCATATCTAAATGTACCGTGGAGGTACCATATTTGACGCAGATACAAACTTGACGCACTTTTGTACTATGCACTAAGACAAGTATTTCACGAAGTAGCTCCCAAAAATCAATCTCACTAGTGTTTTATTAACACTCAACCTTTACATTGCGGCTAGAGGCATAATAGTTCCATGTATATAAGAAACTGCATAGAACATGGGACAATTCTCGCGTCACTTTTCAAATACACCAATCTACATTGATCGATTCTCTTCATCGACTCTCTCTTTCGTAAATAACTCGGTTACAAAAACGTTTCCTGACTTTTGAGATGCTAAATCGTTGCTTCTGTGTGTCGAAAATACCCGCAAATATCTTAACACGGCCGTGGCGATCCAAAGAGAAGGTAGATTAAGTGAATCGATCAATGTAGATTGGTCTATTTGAAAAGTGCATCCACATTCGCCACGAAAAAACTGTTAGTGGATAGCCTTTTTTGGCCAAGAATTGAGGGAAAGCTAAATTGCATCTGTTGCATGTTTCAAAACTCGTCTGCCTTAACAACGAAGCTAAGAAGCTGGTTGAACAGTGTTTATCGGTTTTCGTGTTAAAAATCAATTTTTAATAGTAAAATCACAAACAAACAGGCATAGCACTCCCATACTTTTCATCGAATAAGCAACTAACGGTCAATTTTGCTTGGTTGATTGGTAGCATCGCCACCTGTGGCGCTCATATTCAACTGCCTTGGCGTTTGAACTATAAACGCTACCGCCATCTGTTGAGCGTGCTAGCCATGATAGTGTTTTTCAGTGATAACTCCATGGGCCGTATGAATAAAAAGAGTTTACTTTACTTTCCCGTGCTATTCTTACGGGAAAAGTAAAGTAAACGCTTTTATTCATACGACCTCATGTGCTGTGTATGTTTGTTAAGCTGAACATTGCATTAGGTCCTAAGTAACATTGGTCGATTCTCTTCGTCGACTTTCTCTTTAGTTGATTGATTGATTGATTTATCTTTATTTAGGAGGCTTTCAGCCTGAGGCTGGTTCGCCTCGTTTCTCTTTAGTTAATAACTTGAGCACAGAACCGTTTCTTGATGTGTTTGTCGTATTAGATGCTAGATAAAAGCTTCTTTTATCGATCTGTGTGCTGAAAATACCTGGGAATGTCTTTACATGGCCGTGGGGATGCAAAGAGATAGTCGACGAAGAGAATCTGTCAATGTTACTTAGGACCTAATGCAATGTTCAGCTTGGTTTGTGGTAAAATCGTCTTTAACCGGAAGAACATAACCTTCAACTATTAATCCGGGACTATTACTAATAATACAATTTTGTCATGCTTTTGCAAAGGTTATATTAGATCTGATGTTTGCGTCAAATTAGGCTCGTAGTGCTACCACAGACAAACAAACATAAATCTTATGTCGTTTTCGTTTTTGCGGTGTAGCTACACCGGTGCTACACTGCTGTACACCGAAATTTTTTAGAGTGTAGGTATAGGATGCACCTTTGTTTACAAACAAATGATGTTGAGCTGTCAAAGACTCGCACTTATTCCTGCTTACACTACACTAGTGCTACACCGCAAAAACGAACACGACAGTTGTCGAAAGTTCCACTCCAGTTGATGAGATATTCATTTTTGGTGACTTCAATCTGTCAGGCGTTTCGTGAAGTCCATCTCATAGCGGATTCCTGTATCCAGATCCTGATAGCTCTACATTTCACGCAGGAGCTTTTAGCCTTCTCGACAACTACAGTGCAGCGACGCTTTCTCAAATTAACCATGTAGTTAATGAAAATGGTCGTAGTTTGGACCTCTGCTTCGTGAGCACACAGGACAGGGCTCCATCAATTTCCTCGGCTCCTTGTGCACTAACTAAGCTAGTTCCACATCACCCTCCTCTAATTGTCACTGTTGAGGACAAACTCGTGCGTGATTTCGGCGACTATACTGCTACGGTTTCTTATGACTTCCGTAAAGCTGACCACCGTAGCATCATAGATGTATTGTCTAGCATGGTATGGGAGAACATCCTTGATCCAGATGACGTTGAGGCTGCAGCGCAAATCTTTTCACATGTCTTGGCATATGTCATTGACAGACACGTCCCGAAAAGAACTCACCACAAAGTGTCTCACCCTCCCTGGTAGACGAGAGAGCTACGTAGGTTGAAGTCAATCAAGAGAGCAGCATTGAGAAGATTTACGAAGTATCGCACGCTTCCTCTGAAACTACATTATGTGAGGCTGAATCACATGTACCAGCGAGTCAGTCGTGAATGCTTTTCAAGTTTCGAACGAGGCATCCAACGCAAACTTAAGCTACACCCGAAATCCTTTTGGAACTACGTGAACGAGCAACGCAGGGAATCCGGCCTCCCATCGTCTAAGGAATTCAACGGAGAAGTTGCTACAACTGTTCAGGATATATGCCACCTTTTTTCCGAAAAGTTTTCCAGTGTATTCACTAATGAGACACTAACTGACGACCATATTAACCTGGCTGCCAGGAACGTTCCAGTAAACGATCAAACGCTGGGTGCAATTGATGTTAATGCAGAAATGATTTCTAAGGCCGCGACTCTGCTCAAGTCATCCTTCAATCCTGGACCTAATGGAGTTCCATCTGTATTTTTGAAGAGACATATTGCTAGCTTGTTAATTTCGCTTCTTCGCCTGTTCCGAATGTCTCTCTCAGGTGGCATATTTCCATCTTGCTGGAAATTTGCGCACATGTTTCCCGTCCACAAAAAAGGAAGGAAACGAGCTGTGGATAACTATCGAGAAATTACATCGTTAAGTGCCGTTTCGAAGCTATTCGAGCTAGTGATTATGGAACCGTTGCTGTCCCATTGCAAGCAGTATTTGAGTGCTGATCAACATGGGTTTACTGTCGGCCGCTCTACAACTACCAATCTGCTGTGTCTCACATCGTATATAACCGAAAGCATGTCGGATCGGGTTCAAACGGACGTTATTTATTCAGACCTATCCGCAGCATTCGACAAGTTGAACCATGCTATTGCGATTGCTAAACTCGGCAGGCTCGGTGTATGCGGTAATCTTCTGAGTTGGTTTCGATCATATCTTACCGGTCGGCAACTAAAAGTTGCCATAGGAGATTGCAGATCAGCTAGCTTCTTCACCACATCAGGTATACCTTAGGGAAGCCACATGGGACCGTTAATTTTTATACTGTACTTCAACGACGTGCATCTGGTCATCGAAGCTCCTCGGTTATCATATGCAGATGACCTCAAAATCTTCCTACGAATCTGCTCCATTGCTGACTGTCACTTTCTTCAACGTCAACTGAATGTATTTGCTAGTTGGTGCAGGTTAAACAGAATGGTAGTGAACCCAGCCAAATGCAGGGCTGTTACAACAGGCGCGGATTTCGCGAATTTCGCGGATTTGTCGCGGATTTGAACTTTCAGTCGCGAAAATCGCGGAAACATTAAATGATGTCGCGAAAATCGCGAAGGGACTGATGTGCTGTCACAAAAATTATGGAATTCATTGTAACCTTTCCGTCCCGGATTATAATTCCCTGAGGTCTGTCCAATGTGAGACATTTTCCTTTTTCCAATATGAACATAGCAATTTTCGTTGTCAAATCATAAACGAATCGTATAAATGCGAGTAATTGCCATGTATACCGGATATTCTAGGTTCTCCAAATCATCCTGGAGTTCAGTTGATTTGTGCTACTAGATCAAACAAGACTCCAATAATGTCTGTAATATCGAAATATGTCCAAACAGATTCAAAATGTCTATGTCGATTGTAGTCGACCTATTGCTACGTATACAAGATGTTATAGGTTCTGAAATCATTCTGGAGATCAGATTATTTTTCTACTAGATCACCCAAGACTAATTCAATATCTGTAGTAATATGCTCTAACAAATTTGCAGTGTCTATGTGGATCATGCCAACCTATTTCCGTGTATGCCAAATGTTCTAGGATTTCCAAATCGATATTTCGATACTACAGATATTATCCTAGTCTTTGTTGATCTAGTAAAACAAATCATCTGAACTGCAGGAAGATTTGGAGAACCTTGTTCATCTGGTATACGTGGAAATAATTAAACATTATCCATATAGACACTATGAATCTGTTTGGACATATTTCGATACTACAGACTTTATCCCAGTCATGGTTGGTCTAGTAGAATAAATCATCTGAACTCCAGAACGATTTGGAGAACCTAAAACATCTGGTATACATGACAATAGTTCATGCATGATCCACATAGACACTGTGCATCATGTCTGGAAATATTTCGATCCTAAAGACATTGTCCCAATCTGGGTTGATCTAGTAGATCAAATTATCTGAACTCCAGGACGATTTGAAGAACCTACAACACCTGGATTACTCGGAAATAGACGCATAGACGCTTTGTATTTGATTGGACATTTTTCGATACTACAGGCTACAGACATTATTGCAGTCTTGGTTGATCTAGTAGAACAAATCAACTGATGTCCTGGACGATTTGGAAAACCTATAATTTCCGGTATAGGTACATAGTAATAAGTGGTACATGATCCACAAAGTCACATATATACGATTCGAACATGATTTGACACCGAAAAGTGCTAGGTTCGTATTAGAAATAAAAAAATATGAAAATGTTTCACCATTGGACAGAACCCAAGGAATATCCGTGTAAATACACAACCGCGACGTGACCAACAAGTGTGACTTATGAATCTCTGGTAATTTCTCGATTATGTGCAGGGCGTTTGGTTTGAATCGGAAAAAAATTGAGAAAACTAGAGCAAAATTAACTACATAGGATGGTACAGGCATAGAAAGCTCTCAATTAAAATGTGAAAGTACTTCAAAGAACACTAAGTTGAGAGCAGGCAAAATCTAAAATGCTATAAGCACTAAGCTTGTAATGCTATTTTTCGACAATGAAAACAGTTTTTTTTGTCGTGGGTTAGTACTTGAAGT